GACAATAACGTGCTCAATCTGCACTTAATGACGATACGGGCACCTTATTTCACATTTTCATGAGTTATCTGTTTACCAAAACCTCAGCTAAAAAAGTATACGAGTAGATATCGCGCTCAACGATTCCACGAAGAAACTTCAGCATTTTATCCATTGCAGCATTTGAAGCACATATTATGTATATATTAAACAGCTATGGAACAGCTATGGAACAGCTACCGAATAGCTATGAACAGCTATTGAACAGCTATCGAACGGCTATCGAACAGCTATCGAACAGCTATCAAACAGCTATCAAAAAGCTATCGGTACACTCTAAACAGCTATTTAACAGCTACGGAACGGCTATCAAACTGCTATAAACAGCTATTGAACAGCTATCGAACAGCTATCAGATAGCTATATTTCATTATTTTTGCAGATTATGATATTACGTGAAACAAAAGTATTCAGGTAAAAATTTTTCATATATGAACATACGTATTTATATGTACAAACATATAATTATGTATGAAATATGTCCATATATATACATATATCATTCTTTTTTTTGTAAAACTATTGATTAGTACAAGAAAAATAATAATAATGAGAAAACATAAAAAAATAAGGTAATTGTTTACTTTAGGGGAAACACCTCCAATAACCTTGACCTTGACATATGTTGTCAAGGTCATGACCCTGAGTAACCTTCAACAAGTTTGAGCCGTCGCTCGCCCTTCGTTAAAAAATTTGAAAAATTACGTTTTATTTCACTCGCATTATCGCAATCGAGAATGTCAACTAGCCATTGTCGTTCTTCAAGTCCTTTTACATATACGAGAGCTTCATCGTCTTCTGTTACAGCCTCTGTAATTAGACGTTTCGCCATGCTGTACGGGACCATCCCGTCTTCCCATCGCAAACCATGGTGATAAGCACTCAACCAGGAAGCGCAAGATTTGTCGGATCTTGTCAGTTTTCATGGTATAGGACATGAAAAAATGTAGTGTGTGATAACAGTTCCTCTTCTCAGCACCGCTACCTCCTTGACGATAAATTTCTTGTCTACAACGAATCCTTGTAGATCCACAAACGTTGGTACGATCATGACGAGCATTTATTCGAAACTGCAGTCATATCAGTGTTAATCTCTCACAAGGGGGTGACCTTCGGCCCCTCCCCCCGCACCCACACCGTCGACAGAGGTCTGCCCCGACAGTACTATCATAGCAACAGTACAATCGTAGAAGTCGTGTGCCGCTGTGCAGAGGGGGGGGAGGGTAAAAGTTACTTCGCGTGAGAAGTTTAACGTTCTTGAACAAGGAAAGGTGTAGAATAGTACTTAATAGAACGAACGACACCTTTTATCTCCTTATGTGGAGCATAGGACGTCTATAGACCTCTTTTGTCCGAGGCCTATATTCGTTTCTCGAATCAGATAGTTTTTCTGATTTGTGGGTGATTGGTCCACAGAATCCTACCTCAGTTAGATATTAGAGACAAATATCTACTGATATGTATACTACTGATGTATAGGACCTACAGTTTTTAACGCCGAATCCGAACGGCGCTGATGATCATAGATCTTTTGATCACCAGGTGGAGCCATTTTTTGGCTCATTAAACGCGAAAAATCATCGCGTTTGGGCGCACGTGGGATTGAACTCGGGTCTACAAATCGCGAGTCAATCGCACAGAGGGGTGAGCCACTCGACGCCACAGTACTTAATAGCATACATGAATTATACATCATATGTTAATTTTAAAACTATGATTGTCAATAACTTTTTAACGAAGGGCGAGCGACGGCTAAAACTTGTTGGAAGTTACTCAGGGACATGACCTTGACAACATATGTCAAGGTCAAGGTCATTGGAGGTGGCTCCCCTAAAGTGAACTATTACCAAAAATAATATATATAATTTTTGTAATATTTCTATTAAAAAAAATAAAGTTTGAAGTAATGTAAAAAATTGGCTCATGCATAATATTATTATGTAATTATACATGAGCAATTTTTTACATTTATCCAAACTTTATTTTTTCGAAGAAAAACAATGAGAAAATTAAAACAATACATTGTAAGAACCAAACAATGTCTTTAATGCTATATTATTAAAAATAAATAAGATAAATTTAAACAAATATTTATATCTCGTTCGAGTCATTTTCAATGTTAACATAACTTATAATTTTAAAAATTTGGTACATAATATAAATGTCAACGCTATGATAAAATTGTTAAAAAATAAAAATAATAGTAAAAAACGTTTTTTAGTAGCTCTTGTAAGAAAATTATACTTTTAATTAGTTTTTATTTTATTTTTGTTCTTCTTATTATTTTTATTATATCAAACAATAAGTTTCAGTATGTCATTATTGACTTTGAAATTAATGCTAAATCCTTCCATAACGAATATTCAAACATAGTGGCAAAATGTGCACTGTAACCGTACCGAGATCATATTCAGCTAGGAATGCAAGAAACTTGCACTTTTGAGAACCTTGTGCAGTGTTGCTGACACTATACGAATTTTTGGTGCACACAGAGTGCGGCCCAGTGAAAAACGCTATAACAGCAAGCATAGTAAAACAGACAGCGCACTGGTCTGCTAGTGCCGACGCTAGTCGAAGAGTCCGAGCTTTGACTATATAAGTGTAGACTGCCAGTAGTCAACTTTGTACTTGTTGCCAAACAGTAGCGCCATTAGCAACCAAGAACTAAAGCACAAAACTATAGCAAACAGCAAAGAGCGAACTGAATATTTCTCTCTAACAGAACAAAGACGAGCTTTGACTAAAGAAGATAAGGTTTTATTAAAAAATCAAGGTTTCTTGAAAAAATTATGAATATGCTCACTTATTAATTATTTCGTGGCAAATTATAGTAGCATGCAGAACAAAAATAAGGAACAGTGTCATAGCGTTTTCGAACGGAGTGGGTTTGAACCCGACCGGATCGGTTACCCTATGTTTGATCTAAAAATATCATGACCTCGTCCAATCAGAAATCGAAATAGAGCATGTGACATCAAAGATCCGACCCGGATCGGGTTCAAACCCGCTCCATTCGAAAACGCTATAAGAATGAAACCATAAGCTTTTTTAGATACATGAGAAATTAATGTAAAAATTTATATATTCTATTTACACATATATTTATATATTATATACAACGTTAAAACTATAAATATATAATTAATAAAAGGTGATACACGAAAATTGATAAGCCGTGTTAACTTTAACAATTAATATCTCGCTTCGCGGGTAGAACGCTTTTTTTTCTGCTACACTTGTTCGTTTCGTGCAAAAACACGTCTTTTGGAGTATGATTTTACTAAAAAAAAATTTAGAGATACAATTTGGTTAAGATAGTTGATTTGAATTTTGGCGTGGATTGTGATTAATCAAAAATCGTTACACTTTGCAACACTTTTCACTTGATTTTGCTATAGGATATGCAGCCACTGGCAATCCATACTTATATCACAGTATAAGCACAGTATAACCATACCCAGTAGCGACACTAGCCGGTTTGACCTTGACCAAATTTCAGTACGCTTGCGTGAATTTGTACATTTAACAATATGGATGCGTCCAGAGTACAAGTATTACAGGTAACCTCAATTTACAGTTTCATGACATGTTCTTCATGTGACTTTCGTTTCTTGAAATTAATAATAATAAATTGATCGTTATTTTACTAGAAAAGAGTAATATAATCATCATTAAAATGCCTACCTGATATTGATGTATCTTCTTCAGATTATTATCACTCAAATCGAATGTTGCATATTTATTAAAATATTTTTTTAATTATATTTATACGTACATATGAAGACACAAATAATCTAACATCCGATATTGCACGTATATTACAAAATTAAAAAAATAAGAAGTAATGAGGAGACATGAAAAGGGATGAGAAGGGAGGAGAAGTCTTGTGCTATATTTCCATGCATACATTTTAATCGCAGCGCCGATACATTTAACAATATGGCGGTATACCACGTGACCTGGAACCTACTACATCAAAGATGCCGACACTCAGTGTCGCTACTGGGTATGGTTATACTGTGGTATAAGTACATACAGTAGGTTGACTGAGGCTAAAATCCGCGAAATGATTGTCACTCGCGCATGACGGAAATGCACACTCAATAATATGGCGGCTTATAGAGATTCTCGTCTGTTTTCGTCTCGTGGAACACAGGTCGACACGGGTTTACAAGGACGATAAGTCAGTTCCGACGAACCATCCGACCTTACGGACGCGTTTCGGTTCGGGTGCTTTCCATTGTATATTTTTGAAAGTCTTACCAACTTTGACTGTGCATCGCACCACACAGATGCGTGTCCGCAGATGAGCTCGTCGATTGTTCGTCATTTTGCACCTTTTGACGACTAGAGCTCTCATGACGCGCGTTATTGCGACGTGACGACGCCGTAGATGCAGGCGCCCGGAAACCGGTCGAGCGATTTTCGCGGGCATTGCATCAAATATGAAGAAAAGAAGCAGATATCGTGTGCGATATATATAGATTAGTATTCAAATTGTGTGTCCGCGCTGCACACTCAACATCATGGCCGACCATTTCTCTTCAGATCAAAGGTGCCGTCACAGAGTCGACCTACTGTATGTACTTATACTGTACTTATATAATCAAAGAGTCCGAACGCACACATATACGGCGCTCCTATTCCTTTCCTTGTGTACATACGTCACGCGACGGCGCGCGCAGCAAGGTGCTGTGCCTCACAATCAAAATTAACAGCTCTGCAACAAGCGAATTATTTGGATGAGCTGTTTTAAATGCCTCACCTTGTATTCATTTGCTTCTTCAATAATTGGCATTTGCAGTAGCTAATATATAGACGTAAATAAAATATAAATTGAAAAAAACTAAATTTTATTTTATTTTAATGTCTTCTCAGGCGAGAGAGATATGTCAGCTTATTGTCGGTTGCTCTTACAAATGCTTTTTACTAATATGCTTTCAGTTAACTCCATATCACAAGTCAACATTAACTTTCAACATAGTATAAATGACAAGCGTGTCTTGTTTGTTAAGGGTATGATATGTATTTATTATTGCTATGCTGCTACTTGTTTAATGTAAATATAATTTTTTTGCATATAAAATTCTTTATTGTAATACTTCTGTTATATTTATGAAATTCAGAAGTACCAAGTGGTGCTCCAGAACCACCATTATTCACCAAACGTTTCCAAGAAGTAATCGTTCCGGAAAAAGGTACTTTTAAGTTAATTGCCAAAGTTACTGGTAATCCTGTTCCCGAAGTTATTTGGCTTAGAAACAACAAGCTACTTGATAAATCCATCAATATCATAGAAAATTATGATGGTGAGAACATTCTGCTTGAAATTAAAAATGCAGACTCTGAAGTAGATGCTGGAGATTATAAATGTGTCGCTAGTAATCCAGTCGGAAAAGTATCGCACGGTGCAAAAGTCACTGTAGATGTTGCCAAAGTTTTTTTCACAAGAAACTTGCAAAATGAAATTACAGTCAACGAATACAAAACTCTAGAATTGAACTGTGAGACATCCCACACTGTTTCTACGGTATGGTGGCACAATGACAAGGAAATCAGCGGAATGGATCATCGTGAGGTAATCCAAGAAGGACGCCTACACAAGTTACTTATTAAGAAAAGTAGTCTTTCTGATGCAGGAACATACAAATGTACTGTCAAGAACCAAATGACATTTAGCAACGTTATTGTTAAAGCTACCAAGCCAGAATTTATTAAGAAGTTGCAGGATTTCGAGGTAAAAGAACGCGATGTAGCGATTTTAGAAGTTGAAATCACATCTCAAACGGCCGATGTTACATGGCGAAAAGATGGCGAATTATTAATGCCAAACAAAGAAAAACTAGTATTCATGAAAGATGGTACCATAAGGAAACTTTACATCAGAAACGCATCGGTTCATGACGAAGGCGAGTACACCTGCGCTCTTCTGGATCAAGAATGTACAGCGGAAGTTACAGTTGTCGAATTACCACCAGAAATTATTATCAAAATGCAAGACTTAACTATAGCTACAGGGGAGAAAGGAACTTTCGACATAGAATTAACAAAAGGTGATGCTCTGGTACGCTGGTTCAAAGACGGACAAGAATTGCAATTTTCTGAGCATGTGCGATTGTCAATCGATGGCAAAAGACAGAAATTAAAAATCTACGACACTGAAGTGGAAGATGCAGGAATCTACTCTTGTCAAGTTGGCAATCAAACTTCATCAGCCAGACTGACAGTTGAAGAATCCGAAGTAGATTTTATTAAAAAATTGCCAAATATTACTTTAGTGCCTCTCAACACTGATGCAACTTTTCTTATTGAATTATCGCGTGCTGATGTATTAGTAACATGGTTAAAGTAAGTTTTTTATCAAGATAAAAAAATATATTTAAAAAAGTTTTTTTATTTCTTTAACAATTACTATTAATAAAATTGAAACTAATATGTATAGTATATACATATAACTTACGGAAAATTTGTGTAGGAAAAATGAAACGATCGATTGTGCACAATCGTCAAAATATAATGTTATCGACGAAGGAAATATTAAAAAGTTCATTGTTAGAAATTGCACGACCGAAGATATTGCTGAATATACTGCTGCAATTGCCAATGTAAAAACATCATCACAATTAAAAATTGAAGGTAAATTTTATAAGATTGTGTATAATATTTTCTTTAAGCATATCCCACATAGTAAAAATTGATCCTAGGTACATCTTACGGATGTATGTCAAGGGATTTTCAAACATCCTGAGTACGTATCTGAATAAACTTAGGAGGTATTTAGGATATGCTGAGGATGTTCGTACGTCTGCTTATTCTACATCCATAGGACATCATCGTTTAAATATCATTAGGATGTTTCTGAATAACCAAATTTCGTCGTGTCTTTATCCAGCGGATATCTTAAAATATTTTTAGGATGTTTAAGAAAAACAAAAAAGTTACAGCAGTTCTTATTAATTAGATTTCTTCTTTCTCCATCATTTGTGTTCTCTCCTTAACTGCTGAAATAATACCTAGGAAAAAACTTTTAAACCTGATAGGATTCGAACCCGTGACTCAATCCACGGTCCAGTTCTGAGTCGTTCACCTAACGTACTGCTCCACTGTTACCTTAAAAAATAATACCTAGGAAAAAACTTTTAAACCTGATAGGATTCGAACCCGTAATCCACGGTCCAGTTCTGAGTCGTTCACCTAACGTACTGCTCCACTGTTACCTTATTGACAGAGATGTTTCGAATTGTCCATATATACTTTTAATAAAAATATTTTGTCTACGCAAACAGATTATTTTGTTAAAATTACTAAAAAGAACACTTATTTTGTAATAGCAACAAAATACAATTTTTTTTATTAAATGAACAAAATATTGTAAATTTTTTTATTTAGCGGTACAAATTTATTTCCTTATTTACTTTTTGTAAATAACATGATTTCATTTTTCACATTTCTGTTCTAAGGAAAAAATTTAATGTATAGTAGTATTGAAAGTAGTATTGACCCGAAATTATAATATTTTATGCCCTGAGCGGTATAACAATTCATTATTGCGAAATATCCTAGGAACATCCTTAAAACATCCAGAGGATAAAGAGACATCCTGAAAACGTTCTTAGGAAGTTCAACGGACATTCTTTGAACGTCTTGAGGACATTCCTTGGCGGTATTGCCATGTGGGATATCTATAAATAGATATATATTTAAAAATTAACAATTAAATTGCAAAGGTATACCTCTTATAATATATAAAATACATGTTGTATGTTATATATGTATCGAAAGTTAAAAAATGCAATTTATCAATATATTTTTTTCCGATCAAAATAGGATATTCTAAAGATGCTTTATATTAGTACAATGACAATTACAAATGTCCTCAGCTAATCCTATGGATGACTTAAAGCTTTGGATCAACATGGGATCAATCTGATCAAATTAGGATATCCTTAGGAAAAACTTTGTTATGTGGGATATTGTATATAATAATTTAAAATAGATTTTGCGTACATACATGTGGATGTGCATGAGGTATTTTCAATAGTATTATGGCAAATTCGATTGAAGGCACTGGTGTGTATATGAAGCCATTGTACACTAATTTAATCTGAATATAAAGGTGCATTTTCATGCTGACGCTCGACGTTCATTTCTGGCGTCAAAATTGGTCATGTGTTTGATACTTGGATTCCCGCGCTAGAAGCAGCGCCAAAAACGCCAGAGCTCAACTGAGTTGAGCTTTTACGTTTGACGCTTGTTTTAGTCATTCAGTATTCAGTCGGTAGTCAGGATTTTGTAAGTATCTTTGTAAATCGTCGAAAATATCAGTCACTGCAATAAAAAATACATAATTGAAAGCAGCTTTTTATTATAGAAAAAAATATTAATTATTTCGCACAACTAAAGATTAAGTATGAATTGAAAATCAAGTAAATAAAACAATCACAATAAAATTTTAATAACCTCGTTTATGCTATCAGTAGTCAGTTGACTTCGTTGTCACAACATCGAGAAAATATTGCAGACGTTGTGACGCTTGACGCTCGCACATTTGATGCTACTTCCCCTTTCACATATGTAGCCGATCACGTGACTATAGTTTTGACGCTCGAACACAGACTTCTATACATATATACTACTAGACTGCTAACTTGTTTGAAAAAGTGGACCCCAATTTCGATTGTGCATTATACGCATGCGTCAAGAACCGCACCGCGTGACTCGTGTGACACATGCGCATACATACATTAGCACGCTCATACGTATTTTGACAATTAACCTAGGTAAATATTGTAACATTGAAAATGACCCGATCGGAATAGAAACATTTGTTGTATAGTAGCTACATTATATTTAAATTAAAGTTTTAGTTTTGTTATGTTATCGGCTCTTTTATTTGCCTTTTATTATTTTACTTTGATAAATATACTTTAAGTTAACTAATAATTCTTACTGAATAAAACTCAGCTTATCAATACTTTATGTATTGTAACGTTGGAAATGTATTGTAATGTTGGAAAGGCACACTTTGCTAGCATCGTAATTGAAAATGGTTTTTAAATTGTGGTTGTACATATACTGTAATAATAGGTAAATGTTAAGAAAAGCCCCTTCATCACAACTTTTAATAAAAATATACAATCGATGAGTTCTTGCATGAAACAAAGGAATCTGGCAGAAAAAAGTTTGCTCTGCCTCGCGAACCGAGATATTAAATATTAAAGCGAATTTATTTTTAAAGTAATGAATTTCGTAGCTGTGACAGATGTACTAACCTACATGGTTATCAACTTTAACGCTTAATATCTTGGTTCGCGAAGCAGAGTGACACTTTTTTTTGCCAGATTCTTTCGTTTCATGCAAAACCACATCAATTGAGTATATTTTTATCAAAAGTTAAGGTGAAGGGGGTCTTCTTAACATTTACCATACCTACGGTTATAATACGGCTACTCGCAATATCGCAATCAGGACATAGCCATGTTAAGCCGTAATCGCACTACGGGTTGCGCGCTCTGTTGCGATTGAGATTACGGTTGTATGTTGGAAACTAACCAATCAGAGCAGGAACTGCTCTGCTCTGATTGATTAGTTTCCAACATTCAACCGTAATCTCAATCGCAACAGAGCGCGCAACCCGTAGTGTGATTACGGCTTTACATTCCTTCGGTGTAGTTCGTGACGCATGCGCAGGATCATTATAAATTTTAGGGTCCACTTTATACAAGCTTGTATTAAGCAAAGACATAGAGAATGGACTGCGCGATCCCGTATCTATGTAGTATCAAAATGTATCGACGAAAATGAGAGAGAGGGTCCGTGGAAGACGGCCATCTCTATCTTTTTCCATTCCATGGTATAATGGAAGAGAGAATGAGAGGGAGATGGCCGTCTTCCACGTTCTCTCTCTCTCATTTTTGTTGACCATTTTGACACACGGATCGCGCAGTCCATTCTCTATGATGGTATTAAGGGAGTTAGCAGTCTAGTAATATATATAGAAGTCTGTGCGCTCGAATCACAGTATAAGGGTGCAAACCCATGCAGCGGAATAGCGTAACGCGGAACGAGAGTAGAACCAATCACGAGATTTTCTAGAAACACGGAATGCTCGTTATTGGTTCTGCTCTCGTTCCGCGTTACGCTATTCCGCTGCATGGGTTTGCACCCTAAGGAAACCTGGCTTAGCGCCGAGACACTGGCCTGGTTTCCATCGTGAAAGAATTGGTACGCGTATTAAATGTGTTTCATGCGTTTACATCGCCATTTGTATCATTTGATGCGCGTATCAGTTTAGTACGATCCTCCTGCTTGATACGCTCGTACGAAAATAATCCGACAGCGTTTACATCGAGCGTACTAAATGTTTATAGTACGAATTTGATACGAATATAGTACCTGATACGCATATCAAGTGCACGATGTAAACCAGGCCACTACCGTGTCTCCAGATACAGTAGAGATAAGCAGCGTCGGCACCTTTGATCTTTTTCAGCCGGACTTTCAGGCTCCGCCATGTTGCTGGTTACCAAGTACCGTATCAATAGTATTAGAAACCACTGTCTATAAAAATTTTTTAATTTTAGTAAATTATAATAAAATGATTAAATAGGTCCATGGGTCTACTTTAGATAGGTCCATAGGTCTACTCTTAGGTCCATGGTGTGACACGATAAACACTTAACTGAGTTTGGTTATGTTTTTCCATTATTATAACCAAGAAGACTAGAACCAGGAGAGTAAACTCGGTCAAATATCGGTAGTGGGGGTAGGCCAAAAAGTGACAGCGGATAATTTCCCCCACTCTTGCGCTTCATTAGTCCTCTCTGTCGCTCTGATAGTCGTTTTCAATTCGTGACTGCGCATGTCAAACAAACCTTATTTTTGTTTAATTGAATTTTGGATTCAAGAAGACTAAAAATCATACATATTTCAATATATGTTATTCCAATGACGACGGAAATATTAATAATATTCTGTAAATAAAAAAAAATTACTGTAATCATACTCCAGAATTTGTATACAATACAGAATTTACCTATAAACAAGTTATTTAATATACAGTATAATTTCTTTTTACAACTTACATTCTGTTTAAGATGGTTTAAGAAGATTTTTTGCTTTTTTAAGTGTGTCCCTCGGATGAGGGGAAAATAAAGCGTCTCTAGCCCTAACCTTTTTGGGCTATATAACGCCAAGAAGACTTCTTGATAACGCAAAGGTTAAGAACAAGACTTCTTGGTTATAACCGACGCGCGCATGCGCAAACTTTCATTCAATGTGCAATGCCACTGCGCATTGAATGAATAACCGCGGACGTTTTTTGACCTACCCCCACCACGCTAGTTTACTCTCCTGGTTCTAGTCTTCTTGATTATAACGTAGATACGATGGATTCTCTACTTTGATCGGGATTAGTGCTACCAAAAACATGGCCGTTTTACGATGCGCAAGCAAATCTGCGCGGCTGAACCGAAAACGGGGCCTTGTCCCTACTATATATCCTTATACTGTGCTCGAATCAAGCGTCGAGCGTCAGCATGAAAATGCACCTTAAAGGTAAAATGTAATAAATATTCCAAATTTAAAAAATCCATGTTTTATCTAACGGTACAATAAAATGTATTGCATATTTCTATGTTTATAGATAAACAGTAAATACATATCTTTATATCAATTTATAAATGATAGCTTTAATGTGCAATAGTGTGCATTGAGAGCATCCAATCAAATTTGCTATTAACCTTCGTTCTAATTTATTGATTTTATTCTTGTTATTACATCTTTATAATAACACTGGCCGATGTGGTTTCTGTTGTATGAATAAAAGATATCATTTTCGATGTATTTTTGCGTGCTGAACACAAATCCAGTAATAAAATCACACGTAGCACAGTAGCGCTTAAAAAGCGCGTATGCAGGTGCATTCGTTAGCAGCTTTTTAGCGCTTTAAAAGCGCATTATAATTAGCGCAAAATAAATACAGTTTTATAGCACATTTATTGCACTTTTCATGTCGTATAGTGTCTACAATATGACTTGAAATTAGCCGAGTTATCCACATGCAATAAAAGTGCATAATTAACAGCAGTTTTGGGAGGTGCAATCTTCGGTCTTTACAAGCGCTGGTGTGCTACGTGGGATTGCTCTATCACGTTAGATTTTTTAAAAAAGTACAAGATTAAAAGTGTCAAAATTGACGTTTTTTGACATATTTGTGATTTTTTTGCTAGTAAAGTAATGTTTTTTTCTACTTTTGCCATCTTAAAGTGCCAACTTTTATTTTTTAAATACATTTTTTTTCAACGCCGTACGTTTCTTTTTCACTAAGATAATTTCTCCATAGTCATGCAAGGAAAAACATTTTATGCCAAAAATGTTTTAAAGAAAAAGTTTTAAGAACTGTGTGTTGAATTTAGTAGCAAGGTTTTTAAAGTCACTAAATCCGAATCTGAAGTCAAATTTTCGAAATTCAAAATGGCGGATCCAATATGGATCCAATACGGATCCAATATTTTGCGATAATTTTTTCCGCCATATTGGATCCTTTAATCTCATTTTTCTCAAAAACCTGACATGAGAGCAATTTCATTACGGATTCGTATTCAGCGCACAAAAATACATCGGAAATGGTATCTTTCATTCAAACAGCAGAAAAAAAGTCTTAAAACGTCGGCCTGTGTAATTTGGATATTATTTCATTAATATATATATATTTATGTGTCTATTGCAGTTATCGAAACATCGCCTAAAATTCATCTTGATACGCTTAAAAAATACAAAACAATGAAAGGCGATGACATTGATATTGTTGTGAAATTCACAGCTAAGCCAATTCCAATTGATGAATGGACCGTCAATGATCGTATTCTTAAAAAATCTAAACGAATTATTCCGTCCATTGATGAATGTTCAGCCATTTTAATAATCAGAGACATACAAGAGAAAGATCGTGGTGATTATAATCTAAAATTAACTAATCCACATGGAGAGGATACTATAGAAATCAACGTAATTGTTGTGCGTAAGTATTTACATATTTACATATACAGGGTGTTCCCGGATTAAATGGCCAAATTTGAAATACGTATTTAGGACCTCTCAAAACAAAAAAAAATTTCCTCTTGAAGAATTCTCGCAAACGCTTCGTTCAAGAAATATGGGTGCATTCAGTACTACAACCGCTCACTGAGCGCTCAATGAGCACCCTAGGATTGTGTATTAGATGCGAGCGCTCATTAGCTGCTCACAGTAAGCGGTCACCATCTTTGTGAGCGTAAAATGTTATCATATCCCTAGAGAAAAATAAGTCTTGTAAGTAACCTCCGATTTCGATAAAATTAGACTCATTCGACGCGTGTTTGCATAAAACGGAAGAATATGGCAGAAATATAAGTGTCGCTCTGCCCCGCGAACCGAGATATTAAGCATTGAAGTCGCGACTATTCAGGTTAGGAAATCTGTCACAGTCCTACAATCGCCATGTCTTCTACATGCATTTCGATTTTATGCGTATGCGTCTCATTACGTTTCTTAAGCGGGGAGCACAGACTTTTATATAACGCATAAACCATATACATAAAGAATTTGATTGGTCCATTGACTCATGCATAAGAAAATGGGCCAATGAAATTCCTTATGCACATGCTTTATGCGTTATGCAAAAGTGTGTGTTTCTAGCCTAATTACTCCTAAAATGTGATTGGATAATTTTCATTATGCATATGTTTATGCGGTTATGCAAGTTTGTGTGGATATAGCTTAACGCATAATATATCTCGGTTCGCGGGGCAGAACGACTTCTATCTCTGCCAAATTCTTTCGTTTTATGCAAAAACGCGTCGAATGAGCCTAATTTTATCGAAATTAGAGGTGGGGGTATAATTACCCACATTATATACATATATGGGACATTCCACGTCAACTCAGACAGACCTCCAGACAAAATTCGGCTTGATGGATTTAAACGTTCAAGGGCTTAAAAAATTTGTACATCTGCGTACTTTTAAATGCCGATGGGCTTCTTTCAAAAATTTTAATCAATATAATACAAATTTAAAATCGGCAATAAGGAGACAGCGCGGTAAGTGGTGCGCAACGTTAATATAAATAAAAAAATATAAAATTTTTATTTATTTACTAAGTTTAATAATATCCATCGATGTTCCTATTTCCAATAGGTGTAATTAAAACGTTGTTACATATTCCGGACGTTTCGGCTATATATTTTAGCCATCTTCAGCAGAATTTAAAAAAAAAAGATATCTTCTTGTGTCTTATTAAAAAAACGAAGCACTCTAATAATAGTAATCATACTTCTTTAGTTAGACCAAGAATT